GGAATTATGGCAGTTTTAAAAAAGAATATGAAGGCAAATTTCAAGATTTCCTACACTCTAGCTGTGACATCACGCACTCTAGATAAAGGTGGGGTAGGTAATTTTGGAGAAACCAGCTCAAGTGTGCTAGAATTTGAAAATACACAGCCGGAAAAAATCTCCCACTTCCTTACAGAGCCCCTCCTCCAACACACACGAACGCGCACATGACCAATGAGGGCACGAGATAAGTTTGTGCACAGATGGAAGGCTGACAGGCAGGTAGGCCATCCAGTTATTTTAGCCGGGCTGGCTAAAATGATTGGTCGTGCTTTTTACAGTACTACGGCTTCCACAGATTAAATGTTTTTATGGATTTTTTGTCAAAGCACTTAAGATATTCATTGCTAACGGGATGTTAAGAGCATTCCATGGAATATAACAAAAAGTGTATCTCGAGTCGGTTTCTCAAACTTAGCTACCCCACCTTTAATGTTACAATCTGAAGAAGGCCTCCGTACCGAATGTAGCCGACCATAGAGGTAAACCACTTTTCGGCCACCGTAGTATTGCGCTACAGAGTTACCGCCCACTTCCGCATTCCCTTCACTTGGTAAACAATATTTAAACAGCTGATACCTGATAGTTCTTTCCCGTTCGACCGAGACGTTTCCGGTAAGTCTCCACAATTATCGAGTTAGTGGCATGTTAGGCTCTGGGTGTTTGACTTTTACACATTACTCCAGCAGACTGTAGCTTTGCCCGTGACGGTGACAAGACCAGCGGTATTGTGTGTGTGTGAGGGCCTGCGCCGTCCGAGGGACATAAGGTATGTATGAGCGATCATGGTTTTTACAAAGACTATGTTTATGGCAGCATTTCTGTAACATGTGCTTTGTTCTTTTATAGATTGTCCGCCACTGCTGTTTTGTTTTACTGTTCTACTGTTTACTGTTTCCCTTATTTTGGTTTGTTATGGTAGTTCGTTTTTATGCTTTTGTTTACATTGTTGCTCCAATTCCTAATCTCCCAAGAGTATTAGTGTTTTTATTATCTCAATTAATCTTATCCAATGAATTGATATACTGTTGTGCTTTGTGTCTTTTGTTGAGGGATCCAGCACCCCTGACGTGAGCGGCAGCCTTGGGAGTTGGGATTCAGCGGTGTTAGGCCCTCACGTGCACTTCACTGCCCCTTAAGTGTGTGTGTGTGTGTGTGTGTGTGTATGTTTAGTTAATTTTGCACCTTTCTTAATTTATCACTTTCTTTTCAGTTGCTGTGTACAGGGCACGTGGGAGTGGCGGTGAGTAATATTTAGATTTGACCTGCTTGCTTCCCCCTCCCAACAGTAACTGTCTGCGCTCATTTAGTCAGTTTGTATAGGCTGGATACCATTTTAAATAGCATTGTTGGTGTAGATGAATTCATAATAAATTGTTGTTTTTACTGGTTAAAGTATCGTTTGTATGTGTCTGATATTGATAAATAAATATCATACTCTTGGGAGAAAATCCTTGTCTTGAACCTTTTTGTTGACTGCCAACTGTATCGTGTTTCTTTAATTGAATCTGTGGAGTTTTTGCTGTTACATTTGAGTTAAAGGGCAAATTTGATCAGAAGAACAGCTAAACTTTAGGCCGTGTGCGCGGCCGCGGTTACACAAGGTCTGAACAATGTTTAATATCTCTAAAAGTAAGAATCAGATTTAAAAGTTGTGTTACACGAATAATGTCAGAAAGATGTGTAACATTTTAAAGTTGGAATGAGGTTTCTGAGTGAAAGTATGAAGGAACAGTTAGCAGTTGAAGTCGCATGAAGATTGTTCAAGTCTGAAGATTTTCTCCATTGACTTCAATGGTTAAAAATGTGATGAATTATGGGATATATCTCGGGAATTATGAAAGTTATGAATGATAAAAGTAATAGCCATCGATTCCAACCGAGCTGAACGTTTTGATGTTTGAACTGAGTTTCTGCGATGTGGAATGTGGGAGAAGAAGACCGGCAAAATAACGGGCGGAATAAAGATTTTGAAGAACAGATAGTTGGAATGCTGTATCAGCATTCTGAAGTAAAAAGATATGATTCTACACTGTATTTTAGTGAACATGTATTGTTTGAACTGTTTTAGGTAATCACAAACGGGTTTTGATAAGTCACTTAGAATAGGAATGTTATTCTTACTTTCAAACTCACTGATCCAGAGATTCTGTGTCTCACACACCAACATCGCTCCTTATCACCTCTAAAAGCCAGATGCTGTTTTTAAGTCGTTAAAATACATCGTTAAATAGGTGGAGAACTCATGGGAAGAAATTAAGTTAAGATTCTAATCACAGATAGAGGTTGACTTTTGACCTTATGGAACTTTATGGTTTGAACTGTGATTGAACTAGACCAGAAGGGAATCCAGCCAGTCAAGACACTTGGGGGAGGTGATCAGCTTACACAGCTCCTCCTCAGAGAACTCTGATTCGCTTGGGAGAAAAGTGGGAAGGAAGAGATGACCCATCTCCGCCCCAAAAATAGATAGAAATACTGATGTTTTTGAGTGTAAAATGCTTCTGGTCTGTTGAAAGCTGGTGCTAGAAGACGGTAAACCGCATCACAAACCTGGAGTCCATACTTCTCGTTTTCTGAAAGCTGGTCTGTCTACCTGTAAAACCGCATCACAGGCCTGAAGCCCGGAGTGCTCGAGTACTCTGTATAACTTGTATATGTGTTTGGTTTCCTACTAGAAGTAAACTCAGATAATTTGTTATAACTTTGATTCCGGTGTTTTCAATTCCTTTCTGATTTAATAGAGGCCAGCCTCATTCAACGAACGGCGCGGAGAGGGGGGGGCTATTCAGCCACCAGAAAAGTGTTCTACTCCAACAATTTCCACTAAACTAGAGCATGCAATTCCTGAAGAAATTGCTAGTGGGAATGCTTTATGCTGACGCTGAATTGCTATGCTGAAATGTAATGTGTAAGAAGAAAGTGAAGAATTTAGATTGAAATGATACATGAACACTGGGGGCTTGAATGTGTGATGAGAGAAGAAAATAAAGTAAAAAGGCTTGGAAAAGCAGCAGAATATTTGAACTGCAAACTTTTGAACTAACTTGATGGCGAATGATCTGTCGCCATGGCAACGGCATTTGATGACACCCCATAATACGCTTAGATGCGTTGATGGCTGCATCGTTACCAAACCTGTGAAGTTTTGGGCCATTTGGAGCATTTTCACTGAAGTTATGAGAAAACCGTGTTTCATGGCGAGCATTGTGTTGCCATGGCAACGGAATTTGAAGAAATCTCAAAACTGTCCCCTAGATGTCTTCACGGCTGGACTGTTAGCACACATGTGAAGTTTGAGCACTTTTTGAACATTTTCATAGGAGTTAATGTATAGCGACATCGTCTTTTATGGCGAGGGATGCGTTTCCATGGAAACGGCATATGATGACACCCCATAATTGACGTAGAGCTGTTGAGGGCTGGACCGTTAACCATTATCTGAAGTCTGCTGCTCTGAGCATCTCAGTTAGAGTTATGACATCATCGTGTTCCATGACACAGGTGTTTATATTTGAGCTAACAAGGTGTCCAGAGATCAAAGGTTTCCAATAGCCGCGTTCACACCAAGTACTTTCCTGTACTTAGTTCCGGCACTAAGAGCCCCGGCGCTTTTAACCCCAGGGCACTTAGTACAGATCGCGTTCACACCGGAGTACTTTTCCCTGAGGGAAGATTACGCAAATGAGTCGCTGACGTCACTTCTTCTTCTTCTGCTTTGGCTTTACTGGCAGGCCACAAACCACTTCACGGCGAGTACAGTAGGTGGCGGTATGCACCTTAAAGTTGTTTGCAATCCGCTACAAAACAAGAGAAGAAGAAGAAGAAAAACTTCCCGCGTATACTGTCTGTTGTTTACCTTCCGACCTCAGACATGATGGAGATGGAGTCGACTGAAGTTGTGCTGTTTGTGCTCATGTTATACAGCTTTGTAACTTCGTTAATGCGGCCTGAGCCAGAGCCTGAGCCTGAGCCTATTAGGCGTTCGACACAAATCCGGAGCCGCCACACGTCGAATGCTATAATCGCAAAGTTTCTTCAGCATCAAAGGCAGTTCAAAAGCCTTAGGAAAAGGATTGGCCGACGGAAAGCACACATGATTGCCATGTTTCACCGTAGGATGGCTGATGACGATAAGCAAGATACAGGATCTGTTTAATCGCCATGTCGGTTTTCTTTATTGCACTCTCAAGACATAACATTAAATAGAAATATTTTAAATGTAACTAAAGTGTCAGTTGTACATGTCAGTAAACATTGTCAATATAAAATAAAGTGTCAGTTGTACTATATAATAACAGTAATAACAATATAAAATAAACTGTCCCAGGTGTAGGGATAGTCTCAGCAGCAAACCCACCTTAATGATATATATATATATATATCTTCCTGAGACCCACTGCATCCGTCTGCCATAAACACTATGGAAACATACATGTTAGTTGTGGCCCATAGTGGACTCCATGTTGTGTTGTGTGAAATGGGGGGGAATTAAAAGTTTAGGTCAAATAATATTTAAAATGATATAAATTATCATATTTGTGTATGTGCCGCTGCCATTCCCCCACAAGGTTGCAACATTGATGATAAATAAATGACAAATAAAGCTTTGCCAGTTTATAACCGATGAAACATGATGGTATCAGAATAATCACTTACATGTGATGTATAGGATGCTACGTCGGTTTTCTTTATTGCACTCTCAAGACATAACATTAAATAGAACAATTTTAAATGTAAATAAAGTGTCAGTTGTACATGTCAGTAAACATTATATATAAAATAAAGTGATAACAGTAATAACAATATAAAATAAACTGTCCCAGGTGTAGGGATATTCTCAGCAGCATACACACCTTAGTGCAAAGTTGTGTGTCGTGTGTCAGTATTTACAAAAACTATACCAAATAAACTGTCCCAGGTGTAGGCATAGGCTCAGCAGCAGACATTAACAGTGGCAACTAAAGGGAGGAAGACCTGTTGGCTTTCACTAGCTGGGAAAGCACTTCCAGAAACCCATTATTAAATGCAGTTTGTCGCTCATCCTGCTGCTCCTGGCGCCGCTCGCGCTGCGCCAACGCTTCCTCATGGCGCAGCGCCCACACTTCATCCTGGTGCTGCTGGCGCTCCATCTGCTGCTTGAACACTTCTGCCTGGCGCTCCATTGAGGTGAGCATCTTGTCCTCCGTTTCCTGGGCCTTGGTGAACTGCACCATCTGATCTCCACGCAGCGACTCATTCACCACGGCACGCCGGTCCTCCAACGCCTGGACGGTCTCAAAGAAAAGTGCATCCTGTGTCCGCTTTCCTAAGAGGGGAAAATAAGCAAGATACAAGATCAACAACCAGAGACAATACATCATGTATTTTTTAGCTGCCGGGATTATAACAGACAAAGACTCATTCTGAAAACTGCACTGGAACAACTCAACATCAAGGACATGGATTTCAAGTCAATATATGAAAGTAAATCAAGAAATGAAGCAAACAAGCTGATCTTCAAATTCTTCAAAAGCACTGGTCTGAGGACGAGGATTTAATAAAAACATTTAATAAATCAACAGTAGGTGGCGATATATGCTCCAAGTGGAAGCGATTTCTTACCGGAAGTCATGTGACCTCTAGCCCGGATGTTTACAATGTTTGTGAGAGAGTAAAAAGGCGCGAAAATGTGTAAATGCCGGTCTAGGCGAATACGTTTTCACGCTGTTTCATAATTGTACCAAGAAGGAAATAAACATGATTGTGAACATCAGTTCCATGCGTAACGTTCTTTCAAGACAAAGTTACAGTGTGTGTACCTTTGCGTTTGGTTGCTGGTAAGGGAGACGAGCAAGCGCTCTGATCTTCAAGGCAAAGCTCGCTTGTTTCCAATCCCGAGAGTTGATGATTTTCCTCGCCTGAAACACACGATTAGTGCCATCAGTTAGTGAAGCAAATTACAGAAACACTGCACAGTTATTCACAAGTCAAAACGTTTTCATAGCGGCAGAGAATATCTAGCTAGCTAGATGTTATTAGCCAGCTCGGGGCCAGTGTTAGCTAGTTCAGCCTAGCATGGCTAGCTTGATCTACTGAGCAAATAAAAGTACATCTGAGACCATTATTGTGCAGATTAAAACCCCAGTGCATGTAGTTGCTTTTACCTTCGTCGTGGTCGCCCTCTAAATCCGCCGTTGGAGCGGCCTCCAATACCATACTGCCCGAATCAAGGCTCGATGCTGTACCGGAGAATGAAGGTCTGTGGCTTAGCAAAGCATCCAAGCGGTCGTACCATTTACTGGTCTTCCGGTCGTTACCACTTTTATTATTCCAGTCTTTAATTTTGTTGTAGTCCTGCCGGAGTTTCTTTATTTTTAGCCGGCATGCCAAGGCGCTGTGCAAGATTCCCATCTCAAGCAACTTCTTCGAACAACGATCGAACATCTTCGAGTTGGGTACTGGCTTCAGCAGCATTCCCTGGGTCGCGTCCTCGGCGTAGATGTCCAGAAGCGCTGATACCTCCTCATCACTTTATCGCTCCGATGATTTCCTGATGTTTGCCATAACTGCGTTAAAAAACAAACTACTCTGTGCGCTGGGTTTTTGTAGCGAGGAAAAACAATGGCGGCTCTACAAAACATTTTCACAGTTGTACGGGCGTGGTTTGCAATTCGCCCAGCCAATCAGCACTGGGGCACTTTTCACCCACAGGAAAGTACGATCTCTCAGCGGGCTCTAAAAATGGGGGTAAAAGTTCCCGAGATTAAGTACGATTTTTGGTGTGAACCCGACATAAGGGGTACTAACGGAACTAAACGCGAAAAGTACGGTGAAAAGTACTCTGGTGTGAATGCGGCTATTGTTCTGAATGAGAGATAAACCTCTTACATGTGAACGTTTTGTTGAAGAACCGTAACAGATATCGGTGAAATTTCAAAGCGTGAAGCATCTCAAGGACCTTGAGTATTTGAAGTGTGCTTTTTGTGTACTTTCAGGTCAATAATGTGGCCTTTTTGGCAGATTAACGAAAGGTGCTGCTGTGAGGAAATATCAGCCTGAAATTACAATGGGCTTTAATGGAGACATGTTGAAAGTGTTTGTCACTTCATGCCCTCAAGAGGCATTTTGTTTAATTATTTTTGCTTAATTATTTGTCATTTTTTAAGCTACGAGATGTTTTCCTACGTTTGTCATGAAAAATTATGTCTCAGGAATGTAGGGTTTGGGAATTATGGCAGTTTAAAAAAAATATGAAGGCAAATTTCAAGATTTCCTACACTCTAGCTGTGACATCACGCACTCTAGTTAATGTTAAAATCTGAAGAAGGCCTCTTTACCAAGGTCTGAACAATGTTTAATATCTCTAAAAGTAAGAATCAGATTTAAAAGTTGTATTACACGAATAATGTCAGAAAGATGTGTAACATTTTAAAGTTGGAATGAGGTTTCTGAGTGAAAGTATGAATGAACAGTTAGCAGTTGAAGTCGCATGAAGATTGTTCAAGTCTGAAGATTTTCTCCATTGACTTCAATGGTTAAAAATGTGATGAATTATGGGATGTATCTCTGGAATTATGAAAGTTATGAATGAGAAAAGTAATAGCAATCGATTCCCGACTGAGCTGAACGTTTTGATGTTTGAACTGAGTTTCTTCGATGTGGAATGTGGGAGAAGAAGACCGGCAAAATAACGGGCGGAATAAAGATTTTGAAGAACAGATAGTTGGAATGCTGTATCAGCATTCCCACTAAACTAGAGCATGCAATTCCTGAAGAAATTGCTAGTGGGAATGCTTTATGCTGAAAAGCTGACGCTAAACTGCTATGCTGAAATGTAATGTGTAAGAAGAAAGTGAAGAATTTAGATTGAAATGATACATGAACACTGGGGGCTTGAATGTGTGATGAGAGAAGAAAAGAAAGTAAAAAGGCTTGGAAAAGCAGCAGAACAATTTGAACTGCAAACTTTTGAACTAACTTGATGGTGAATGATCTGTCGCCATGCCAACGGGAATGTGGGTGAAGAAGACCGGCAAAATAACGGGCGGAATCAAGATTTTGAATAACATATAGTGGGAATGCTGTATCAGCATTTTTGATTTGATTTGTTTGATTTGATTAGTTTGATAGTAGGAAGACATATTTGAATGATCAGCATGAACAAAAGGAATCCCTTTTGGAGGAATCCCGGAGGAATCTGCGGCCGCGAGCATGGTGTTATTTTTTTATATATTATAATGGGCGCGAGCTGTGTGCTCGAGTCTTCCTGCCTGTCGGCTGAACTCTGCTGCTCCGCGATGAGGGTCTAACTTCAGCAGCTTGAGTAAAAGTAGAAGTACCAGAGTGTAGGAATACACTGTTACAGTAAAAGTCCTGCATTCAAAATGTTACTCAAGTAAAAGTAGAAAAGTATTATCATCTAAATATAGTTAAAGTAGCGACAGTAAAAGTAGTCATTGTGCAGATTGGTCCATTTCAGAATAATATATATGATATGTTTTATAATGATTGATCATGAAAGTGTTCTCAAAGCTGGTAAAGGTGCAGCTAGTTTGAATGACTTTGTATACTGCAGGGTAGCTTGTGAATTTACTCCAGGTGGAACTAAAGTCTGATTTAACACTTGATTATATTTCACATCATTCATCCAGATCTGTGAAGTAACTAAAGGTATTAAATACATGTAGTGGAGTAAAAGTACACCATTTACCTCTGAACTGTAGTGGAGTAGAAGAACAAAGTAGGAAAACATTTACATACTTAAGTAAAGTACAAGTATCTCAAAATTGTAAGTATAGTACTTGTTGAGTTTATGAACTTAGTTAACTGACTGCTACACAATTAAAATAAATGCTTTTATATATTTCTATTAGATCAAATTCATTGTATCATTGTATCATTGTTTTATTAAACGCTGTTATCTTGTGAATAAGCTTCCTGGACTCTTTCCAGCTAATCCTACCTCAGGGCTAAAATACCCTACATATCACTCACAGATTAACAATAAAGTTGACTTTGATTTGACTTTTGATATGGGTCCTATCCTTTAAACACCACACGTTCACCAGGAAAAGCAATGCTGTGAGAAAAGTAATAAAAAAAGGTCATATTGTGGCAAATCAGTTTTTCCGTCTTCTTTCCTAAATAATTCAAATTGATGAAGTCAGGGAGCACTGAGAACATGTTAGCACTGAACCCTCCACAGAACTCAGTGGGAGAACACACTCACCTGACACACACTCACCTGACACACACTCACCTTTATTGTCCCAGATCAGCAGCAGTGATCCCCCTCCCCCCCCCCCCCCCCCCCCAAAATGCCAGGCACTGAACTTCAGGCTGCACCAGTGGAAAGCTATTGGAGGGGGGGTGGAAGTGGACGGGCAGATGTTGGATTCAGTGTGTGTGTGTGTGTGTGTGTGTGTGTGTGTGTGTGTGTGTGTGTGTGTGTGTGTGTGTGTGTGTGTGTGTGTGTGTGTGTGTGTGGGAGATGTTTTGCTCTGTCTCAACTCTCAGAGGAACGTTCACTACTCCCCCCCCCCCCCCCCCCTGCCCCCACTGTCGCTGCTGGCATCACCCGCGGTGACAAAGGCTCTATTGGCACCCTAGGGTGAAGGGTGGTGTGTGTGGAGGGGCTGGGGCTGAAGAGTGTGTGGGGGGGGGGCTACCTCTGTGTGTGCACACACAATGCACAGTGCACAAACTAAAAATAAAAATAAACAGTGGGATGGATGAGGCTTAGACCCCAGAGACCGAGACACACACACACAAAAAACACACACACTAATATTATCCTCTAACAATTTATCATCACTAGTTTTGCCTCTTCCGTAATAACGCTCAGTCTGTGAGTTAAGTGCAGTATTAGCTTTATTTCCCTAACATGCAAAATATTCATTGACTCCATTTAATTTGAGTGTAACATAAATGCTTATTATGCCTCTGAATCACAACTAAATTAAAGCAAGCTAATTATGGTTAACAGGGGGAAAAAGTCAGCTGCATAATTATAATTTTAGGGAGACCCATATTACAAATCACCTACCTCTCAAACTTGTTTTCCCTTAACTCACACTGCAGTCACACACACACAGGTTTTTCTTCAGAATGGTTGATAGCAGAGAAAGAAATATGCGTGTGTGTGTGTGCGCACCTTTTTCATACCAGTGGAGGGCAGAATTACATTTCAAAAATTAGAAGCAGCGATTGTTGATTAGAATGCAGGAGGAAGAGGAGGAGGAGGAGGTGAAGAAAACATCTGAATATGATGGCTCGTTCCTCTTCTTTAACATCTTGTGTTTCTTTACTGGGGATAGACGCTGATGACCGACAGACAGAAATTCTCAAACCGAGCACACGTGAGTTCAAATGTTTTGACCGTTTTTTATTTTGCAGACTTACCTGTAGTAATGGAAGACATATCTTGAGGGATTTTTAACCTCATTTGTGTTTACACTGCTTGGAATAAAATGCCTGCAATCACTTATTTACTGGACGAAGTTCATTCATACATTAAAATATGGGGATCAACATTTAAAATACAGAATGTGACATTTCTTAAACTTCAAGGAAATTAGGTAATTACCACAACATTCATACTTTTCTAATTGAAATCATTTAGCTAACTGTTCAATTAAAAACATTTTTAATACACTCCCTAATATAAAGCCTGGTGGAAAAAAATACTCCTTTAATAATATTACTTATTTACTAAAGTAGTCAAATTGGAATATATTGTTAAAAAAATTACTGCAATTTACCTATGAAACATCAATCACTTTAAATGTAATTTTATTCAAATTACACATTCAACATTTCATTTTAATGGTTTGTGATTTGGCAACTTCCATATTTACTTTTTACAAACTGACACGTCCCCTTGCAATTAAGTTCCCTTAAAGCGTGCCGAGCCTCCATTAGAAATATGGGGGTCATGAGTCTGAGTCCCCCTATTGCCACGGTATTTCATCTGAATTGATTTATAAGAAAAAAATCATTACGGAATGATTTTGTAACCACTGTGATGCTGATATAACTAACGTCATATGTAAAACATAGAGGAGTAGAAACAGACTTGAATAATGGACAGCAGAGCATGTTGGGATGTGCATTAGCATTAGCTCGGGGTGCCGAGAGGCTATGGAACACATTATAAATAAGGTCATGCCTCACGCAGGATCTCCGGTGAGCAGCCTCCTGGTGAATGTGTGATTATCCTAATCCCACAGCTCCGCTACCCGATCGGGGGGGGGGGGGGGGTACGAGAGATTCAGATGGTGATACGCTGCCAAAGAGAGAAGCCGTGTCAAAAGAAAAGCTAAACTTTCACCCTGTCCTCCACACAGCAGACCACTGCAGATGAATCCGGACAGAGAAGAGATCTATCAGTACATTAACTATAAGTAAAGGAAGGGATGTTATTTCAAAATGTTCAAGAGACAAAT